AGATAAAGATCATAAACTTTTATTGTGTTAATTTCACCATAAACTGTATACTGAGAAACAAAAGAAAAAAGTACTTGCTGATTTAGTGCATGAATTAAAAAAGGGGGGGGGTAATTCAAACAACTTAGTGCTTGAAGTCAGATGGAAAAATATGGGGTATATATATCACAGAGCAATTTCTATTTTTCTACACGTTACAGGTTATTCTATTGTTGAAGGCTATACGCTGAACTATAGTTGTTTACATTCTTGTCCTTTGGTCTTTTGTGGATAGTGGTCTGATTGGCAATCATACAACTAAAATGTACATCTATTTTATTCTTACATGTAACATGCATGTATTTTATTTCAACATTGCATATTTTAATGTTCAATTAAGTTGCCTGAGCTATATCACCATTTAAGATTTAAGATTTTAAGTATTATATCTGAAAAGTATTTAACTTTTACTTTTTTTAGGGTAAAAAGGGGGGTGCTAAACAAAAAAAGTATGCATGTATTTGTCCTTAGGGATATATAGGTATAAATTCTTGTGTCTTACTAACCAACTGGCAATAAAAACTTAAGGGATGGCACTTTTCCGCATCAAATCTTTAATAAAAATATTATTTTGCCTTGTGTAATCTGGTATAGGAATGACCCTATAGTTTTGTACACATACATGTATTAATAATTTACCCAAGGTTCTTAATAATTTCAGCATTTTGGAAGCTACATGTAAAACAGAATTAATGCAAATAAAGGACAATTGATATTACATTTTATTAATTTCACACTTGATTATAGGTGTCTGAAAGTTTGTCAAGTAGGAACAGGTTTTAAAAATGTCCTCTGCAACCATTGTTAGAGTGACTGGCATTGTTCCATTCAAAATATGAAAAGTTTTAATTCTTTGAATTGCCCTTTCAACATGTATCCTAACCTCAGCTATCCGACGTGTCTCCTCAACCTGACTGGCACTTAACTGGAATTCTCCACAACGAAAAGGTGGGATATTTAATGTGGCACCACATTTTTTGAGATCGTCAGAAATGTCAAATCCTCTGTCAGCCATAACATAATCTCCTTCTTTCACTAGATTAAGAATACCAGATTTGTTAACTATAAATCTGTCTGAAGCTGCACCTCCATAAATTGTAGAAACAAATGTCACAGTCCCATCTGGAGAAATACCAACAAGTATTTTATATGTGTTTCTATGTTTATAAGAGGACCATGTCTGTCGCTGAGCCTGTAAAGCGGATGGTTTTTGAACATATATCTCTGTACAGTCAAGTATTACCACTGTATTAGGAAACTTGGCAAATGCAGGTGGCATATGTTCATTAACTTGCTCCCTACTTGGAAATGGGAAAAGCAATTCAAGTTCAAGTCTTAAAAATCTTATCCAAGTGTTAAATAGTTTTGAAAAGTGAGTCTTTGAAATTGCAAAACGAGCAGCTATATCCTCCACTAAAAGTCCCAACCTCAATCGCACCAGAACAGCAAAAAATTCATTGTCCATAGAAAGACTTCTAACACGTCCCCCATTACCAATGTGGTCTGTTGTAGACGTTTGTTTCCCTCTCCAGTATGTAAGTCTCTCTGCTTTTGGTCTTAAGTATTCTTATACAGCATTGAATGTTGCAATATTAGGAAGTCCTGTGTAAAATTGAACATTTTCATCATTGGTCGACAACACAACAAAAGTCTCTTCCACCCATGACAAAATATGTGCATTTATGTATTAAGCTATCTTAAATTTGCCGAGTTAAAACATGACCTAGTTGTTTTGATCAATAATAGCATCCAGGTAAAGGTAAACAGTAATGCACGTGACTGATCGTAATCAGGTTATCGGTCAAGCATTGTAGCCCCCAGTAGACGAAATAACGGACAAATATCGTGAAATCTCGTAGTCAACTAATTAGGTGACGCATGCGCAATCAAATGTGAAACTGGTGTATTGAATAATTTAACCCGAAGTCAGATTTGCTCTAAAAGCTTTAGTTTTTGAGATATAAGCCAAAAACTGCTTTTGACCCCTATGTTCTATTTTTAGCCATGGCGGCCATGTTTGTCGATTGATCAAAACTTTGGATACAGTTTATAAACTAAATACCCTAAGGAACATTTAGTTAAAGTTTGAAGGTATTTGGCCCAGTAGTTTCAGAGGAGAAGATTTTTTAAATAGTTTACGACGACAGACAACGATGACAGACGACGATGACGGACGCCAAGTGATGGCATAAGCTCATATGGGGCCCTTTGGGCCCCTGTGAGCTAAAAAGGGAGGATAACAAGCTACACTGTGCATGCTTTAGGACACAGAGTCATAATTAAAAGTGAGGATAACAAGCTACACTGTGCATGCTTCAGAACACAGTCATAATAAAAAGGGTGGATAACAAGCTACACTGTGCATGCTTTAGGACACAGAGTCATAATAAAAAGGGAGGCCAACAAGCTACACTGTGCATGCTTCAGGACACAGAGTCATAATAAAAAGGGAGGATAACAAGCTACACTGTGCATGCTTTATGACACAGAGTCATAATAACAAGAGGCTCTCAAGAGCCTGTATCGCTCACCTGTATTTCAGAGAAGATTTTTAAATATTAGCAAACTTGATGAACAAATTGTGTAAAATTGTCTTTAAAGGGCAATAACTCCTTAAGGGGTTAATTGACAATTTTGGTCATTTAACTTTTTTGTAGATCTTACTTTACTGAACATTATTGCTGCTTACAGTTTATGTATATCTATAATAATATTCAAAATAATAACAAAAAACTGCAAAATTTTGTTAAAACTACCAATTCGGTGGCAGCAACCCAACAATGGGTTGTTCGAATCGTCTGAAAATTTCAGGGATGATAGATCTTGACCAATTGAACAATTTTACCCCCATGTCACATTTGCTCTAAAAGATTTAGTTTTTGAGATATAAGCCAAAAACTGCATTTGACCCTTATGTTCTATTTTTAGCCATGGCGGCCATGTTTGTCGATTGATCAAAACTTTGGATACAGTTTATAAACTAAATACCCTAAGGAACATTTAGTTAAAGTTTGAAGGTATTTGGCCCAGTAGTTTCAGAGGAGAAGATTTTTTAAATAGTTTACGACGACAGACAACGATGACAGACGACGATGACGGACGCCAAGTGATGGCATAAGCTCATATGGGGCCCTTTGGGCCCCTTTGAGCTAAAAAGGGAGGATAACAAGCTACACTGTGCATGCTTTAGGACACAGAGTCATAATTAAAAGTGAGGATAACAAGCTACACTGTGCATGCTTCAGAACACAGTCATAATAAAAAGGGTGGATAACAAGCTACACTGTGCATGCTTTAGGACACAGAGTCATAATAAAAAGGGAGGCCAACAAGCTACACTGTGCATGCTTCAGGACACAGAGTCATAATAAAAAGGGAGGATAACAAGCTACACTGTGCATGCTTTATGACACAGAGTCATAATAACAAGAGGCTCTCAAGAGCCTGAATCGCTCACCTGTATTTCAGAGAAGATTTTTAAATATTAGCAAACTTGATGAACAAATTGTGTAAAATTGTCTTTAAAGGGCAATAACTCCTTAAGGGGTTAATTGACAATTTTGGTCATTTAACTTTTTTGTAGATCTTACTTTACTGAACATTATTGCTGCTTACAGTTTATGTATATCTATAATAATATTCAAAATAATAACAAAAAACTGCAAAATTTTGTTAAAACTACCAATTCGGTGGCAGCAACCCAACAATGGGTTGTTCGAATCGTCTGAAAATTTCAGGGATGATAGATCTTGACCAATTGAACAATTTTACCCCCATGTCACATTTGCTCTAAAAGATTTAGTTTTTGAGATATAAGCCAAAAACTGCATTTGACCCTTATGTTCTATTTTTAGCCATGGCGGCCATGTTTGTCGATGGATACAAACTTTGGATACAATTTATAAACAAGATACCCTAAGGAACATTTAGTTAAAGTTTGAAGGTAATTGGCCCAGTAGTTTCAGAGGAGAAGATTTTTAAATGTTAGCAAACCTGATGAACAAATTGTGTAAAATTGTCTTTAAAGGGCAATAACTCCTTAAGGGGTCAATTGACAATTATGGTCATATTAACTTTTTTGTAGATCTTACTTTGCTGAACATTATTGCTGCTTACAGTTTATATATATCTATAATAATATTCAAAATAATAACAAAAAACTGCAAAATTTTGTTAAAACTACCAATTCTGTGGCAGCAACCCAACAATGGGTTGTTCGATTCATCTGAAAATTTAAGAGTTCATAGATCTTGACCAATTGAACAATTTTACCCCATGTCAGATTTGCTCTAAAAGCTTTAGTTTTTGAGATATAAGCCAAAAACTGCATTTGACCCCTATGTTCTATTTTTAGCCATGGCGGCCATGTTTGTCGATGGATCAAAACTTCTGATATATTTTATAAACTAGATACCCTAAGGAACATTTAGTTAAAGTTTGAAGGTATTTGGCCCAGTAGTTTCAGAGGAGAAGATTTTTGAAATAGTTTACGACGACAGACGACGACGACAGTCGACGACGATGACAGACGACGGACAACAACGGACACCAATTGATGGCATAAGCTCACATGGGGCCCTTTGGGCCCGGTGAGCTAAAAAGGGAGGATAACAAGCTACACTGTGCATGCTTCAGGACACAGAGTCATAATAAAAAGGGAGGATAACAAGCTACACTGTGCATGCTTCAGGACACAGAGTCATAATAAAAAGGGAGGATAACAAGCTACACTGTGCATGCTTCTGGACAAAGAGTCATAATATAAAGGGTGGATAACAAGCTAAACTGTGCATGCTTCAGGACACAGAGTCATAATAAAAAAAGAGGATAACAGACTACACTGTGCATGCTAGCTTCAGGATGCATAGTCATACTGATAAATATAATATGGTAGTTCTAGAAGTGACACATAAGAAATGATTCTGCTCATTTAGTATTATAGATTATGGAATGCTATTTACCTGTGAGGATAGGCTTTGATCTCCTCTAACAATAACATTTTTTTTGCTTTGGTTTCATAATCTCTTCTGATAAAGGGCTTCAGTATTCTATAAAAAGACAAAATATTCTGAAGAGCAAATAACTGATACTAGAAAGAGGATTGATATAAATAAAGTGAAAGCATAAAAATCTGCAAAATGAAAGCAGTAATATGATAATGTATGCAATTAAGTAGAATATATGTCTGTTATTATACATCATTCAGCAAATATGGGAAAAGAAATGTTATGTACATTACAATAAAGGAAATCTATTATCCCTGAGACTAACACCACCTGTAAACAACATCCCAATCCATAGGAATTTTATTTGGAATTATCAAAAAATCTCCTTATATGTTGAAATTGGTGTTGATTCTATGTTTTTTTTTATTCAGCCTAGTTTTGCTGTAAAATTTCAGGTAGTGATAAATGATCTAAAACTTATAACCAGTATCATTTGGAATGTTTACTGATCTTTTAAAAATGCAAATTCCAAATATTAGCAACCATTAAAAGTAATCTAAACACACAAATAAATCCTGAAAACTAAATGCAAATCAGCTCATGGCAAACTATCTTTACAATATATGGCCTACCTACCAGTAAAGTCTGACTATACTCTGTAACTTACCTGGCTGTATATGGCCTACCTACCAGAAAAGTCTGACTATACTATGTAACTTACCTGGCTGTATATGGCCTACCTACCAGTAAAGTCTGACTATACCCTGTAACTTACCTGGCTGTATATGGCCTACCTACCAGTAAAGTCTGACTATACCCTGTAACTTACCTGGCTGTGTATGGACTACCTACCAGTCAAGTCTGACTATACCCTGTAACTTACCTGGCTGTGTATGGCCTACCTACCAGTAAAGTCTGACTATACCCTGTAACTTACCTGGCTGTATATGGTCTACCTACTAGTAAAGTCTGACTATACCCTGTAACTTACCAGGCTGTGTATGGACTACCTACTAGTAAAGTCTGACTATACCCTGTAACTTACCAGGCTGTGTATGGCCTACCTACCAGTAAAGTATGACTATACCCTGTAACTTACCTGGCTGTGTATAGCCTACCTACCAGTAAAATCTGACTATATCTTGTAACTTACCTGGCTGTATATGGCCTACCTACCAGTAAAGTCTGACTATACCCTGTAACTTACCTGGCTGTATATGGACTACCTACCAGTAAAATCTGACTATACCCTGTAACTTACCTGGCTGTGTATGGACTACCTACCAGTAAAGTCCGACTATACTCTGTAACTTACCTGGCTGTGTAAAGAATACCTACCAGTAAAGTCTGACTATACCCTGTAACTTACCTGGCTGTATATGGCCTACTTACCAGTAAAGTCTGACTATACCTTGTAACTTACCTGGCTGTATATTGCCTACCTACCAGTAAAGTCTGACTATACCCTGTAACTTACCTGGCTGTGTATGGACTACCTACCAGTAAAGTCTGACTATACCCTGTAACTTACCTGGCTGTGTATGGACTAATGATACTCTGTAGCTGGTCATCCTCTGTACCAACTAATCGATTCAGAAAAGATGGTTTGTGTTGTGTAAGTAGTTTAGAACTGTAGGCAAAAGTCTGAAATGTATAGAAAAACTAAATTCCACAGACAAACTGTTCCTTCTGTAAACAGAAAACAGTTAAAAAAAATTACATGTGCCTTTCATTTAAATAAAGACTCTTGTATATGTTGTAAATGTATATTATCAAGGTAAACACCTGATGCAGTGTCCTAAGAGAGAAACTACTGGTGTCTGCTGAAACTTCACACAATGTGACTGTCAGTAATTATTCAACCTACTACTGTACCTAGAAAAGAAATCTGGTATTTATAAAACCATATTTAGCTATGGGAAATAACAAACATAAATGGATCAAAGATAAAATTCAAGACTTTGGATTACTTATAAAATCAATGATATCAACAAATAAAATAAATAAATCCAGTACTATAAATTTGGGTTTCTGTTAAACATGCAAACAAGATATGCACATCGCTATGAATAACAGAATAGTCCATATTTTGGTAGGGTCCTTAGAAAGGATATATTCCTACACTTCCTGATGAAGATAAAATTATGTTTAGTTAGTTATTTATGAGTATTTTTAGAAGAGTTTCATGCTAGAGAAAGTGGTAACAACATAGACAACAATACAGGTTGACACTTGTTGTACGCAATAACTTACTTGAAATCTGTCAAGAATTCTGATATCACCTGGTAAAAATCTGTTTGTAGGTAAACCATGTGGATTCAATCTGTTAACATCCTATATTAAAGAAAAAACTACATTGCTTATAGACTATTCAAATGTGGACCACAAAGGCATTTATCAAAGTAATTCAGGAATATCTAATATTTTCCTTATACAATGTTGAGCATTTACCAGTAAACAAAATGTTCAATCATGTCTGGCTTAATTGTAGTGCTATGAACAATTTTTGTTTGAAAAAAATATTAGTGTTTACTTATCTTTTCTGATAAAAAGAATGCTTTAAAATATTTTTTGAATACAGGATGGATATTGTCTCGGTTGACTACAGTTTAAGTTTTATCATTGTCAATTGTCATGTAAGGTATGAATTAACTATGAAATTTAACATCCAATGAAAAGTTTCCATTTCACTCGTACATGTGATACAAGTCTGATCGAATGAAATCAAATTCTATAAACTTAATGTTGTTCCATAAAACATTAAATAAGTTGTTATCTGTTGATAAAGTACTCTCAAAGTAAATACCTCTTGTATCCAGCTGTCGCCCCAACATTTCCTCGCCATTTTGTTCATCTCCATGTCAATATCAAATATTGGTTGACCTCTTTCTCTCTTCAGCTAAAAATTTATTAAATAATCAGTTACTTATCTTTATAGATATTTATTTCTATTCAAATGATGAAAATCAACAACAAAATCATGATATACAAGTTTTTGTAGTATTTGTGAGAGCAAGAAAAAACCAAGAATTTAAATTTCAAAAGAAAAATAACCATTTGACTTCAATTTTAAATGTAAAAGTTGAAATCTACACAATAGTTTTGCAGAGGGTACTACAAAAGAACTAATATTACTCCAGATTATATTTATTGTACACCTAGAAAATCAATCTTTGCAATTTTACAATTTTAAAAGATATAAACTCTTGGATAAAACAAATTGTCAAATTTGAGGAATTTTCTTCTTAGGGTATGAAATTTATATATTACCTGTCGTATAATTAATTTTCTCCTCAGCCTGTTTATTTCAGGAGGCAGCTGACATGTGTTTGAAGCATCATTTAATTTCTTCAAAAGTTGTCTTTCTTCATACAAACTCATCAAAGTGCATCTTTTACAAAATAAAACTTTCAATCATTAATCAGCAAATACAAGTATTGTATGAAATCTGTTTGATAACATTAAGTATTAATTTCTATGTATCTGAACACGTCTTAATTTCTATGTATCTGAACACTATTGTTAGTCTCTATGTATCTGACAGGTTAAGATATTTTTACTGACAAGACTACAAAGTGCTTGCAGCATTTCAAGAATAAGTCTGCAATTTTTTATTTGTTTCATCAGTTGATAAAGTTTACCAGTATATTTTTATTCAGATCTATACCAAAAACACTGCAATACTGCAATTAGATTCCAGAAAAAGTTAATAGGAAGAAAATACTGCTGGTCATACAATATCCCTAACAGAATGATGAAATTATCTGCAGGTTTCTTAAGAAATAATCTTTTTTATGCCTCTGCCAAAAAGTCAGGAAGCATATTGTTTTAACCAAGTCCCTCTGTCCACCTATATCCTTCTTTAGTTTAAAAGCTAGAACTTTTATATTAAGCAGAATGTAAGTACAAATTTTCCACAATAAACAGGATGTAGTTTTCTTGTGAAATTACACATGTGATATGCATGTTTAGTCCACCTACATATTATCGGAATTTTTATTTCTTTTAACTTTTCTACAAATGATTAGATGTTGAGTTTGTTATTTTTTGGAATACTCAAGCCTATGACAGGGGGATAATATTTGTTTCTTTTCATATCATATTTGTATTTTGGATTCAAATTTTTAAATTACTTTTCTTCTTGTAAATTTTCCTTGTTTTCTGTCTTATTTTCTCTTTCTATTTTTGTTTTGCCAGTAGATTTTCCTCTATCACTGTGTATTGTACTTTCATTTTCATCAGCACTACTGTTTTCACTTTCACTTTCTGAATCCACAACAGAATCATTATCTTCTTCTTTAAATGATTTCACTTCCTGATTGGTTTCCATTGGTAATCCTTTTCCTTGGATACTATCAGAATCATGAACAACACACATATCAATATCTTGAATTTCTTGCTGGATTTCAACTTTTCCTGTAAAGTTAAATATAAATCTCATAAAACATAAAAAATGTGTTTCTTAACTGTCCTTTTATACAGGTTATTAAAATTCAATAAGTCTGCAAACAAAATCTCTTTTAAGAATTTGGAAAACTGGGTATTTCTAGATATGTTCAGTTGTTGTTGACCTTTACTCTGTTTTGTTTCCTTTTCATATTCAATCCTTACATAGACACCATTCTTTTGATATGTAATGTAAACATATAGTTCTTTACTACTTTTCACATTTTCTTTTCATTATCTACAAAGATGCCAGTCCTCATTCATTTGGTTCAACTTTTATAGTTTTATTAATGTTTTTGTCAATGGATTTAAATCTTGAATTGAAATTACATGTGGTCACATTACACATCTGTATATTCCTATTCTTAACAAAATAAACTACCTTCAGTTCCCTGAAATAACATCTCATTATCTACAGCATTATCACAGACTGTGGACAGAATGTCAAGTAACATTGGAGAATCACACTGTTTTGGTGACCCTGGTGGAGGAGTTATGGTTCCTGGGTCAATCTCTAAATCACTGTCAGAATCATTCACATCTGTATTATCAGCTGACATCAACAAGGAAGGAATATTTACTAAAAAAAATTAGTTAGATTCCTCTTTTAAAACATAAATTTTCAATCCTTCCTATAATTGGTTGTTGGAACCAACTTTAATAAAAGCAAAACTTTTTTTTTTGATACAAAAATATAGGTGTACCATAGGAAATTATGTTTTGAAAAACATACCAAAATATAGAGAGGTAAATTCATTTAACCTATCAACAAAACTATCTATAAAAGTCTGGCAATTGGGCCATGTTGACTTACTTATTGATCTTATTTTTCTGATTTTTTTTGCTTGTTATAGTAACTCTCTATCCACTATAGTTTGTGACAAAAATGCAAAATATTGGTAAAAGTCTTCACTCGGGGGGAATAAACTTCTACAAGGAGTCAGTTGACAATTTCAGACATGTTGACGAGTTAAAAATCTTATTGTGCTGAAAATTTCTACTTCTTACTGTTCCTCTTTATCTGGTATTGTTAGTGCAAACTACGCAAAAGAGGGTAAAAGTCATCTTTCAAGGGCAATAACTCCTCTTAGGGCTAAATTGATGATATCAATCATTTTGACTTATTTGTATTTTTAGGCCAGGTTAGCCTAAAAGATTTCCACGAATATTTTTTTACAAAAGATAAATATATTACTTGTGAAATACAATTTTTCCTCAATCCACAAGAATTGGTGCCCCAAAAATAAATAAATCGACAGTATGTTTCTCTATTTAAAAACAAGATCTTCCCTGATCTGTAATTCAAAATAAAACCCAACCACTCATCTGTTCTTAACATTAAACTGAACTATGTTCAGGTTACAAAAAAAAAACCAAAGAAATTAACAAACAACAAATTCCCTCGTCACCGTTTTTTGGTCCAAGGAACAGTAATGTCTGAAACATTTGGGAGTATCAGTACTTATCAAAGTCAATAATTATACTAATGTTTATAGAAATATATTTGACTCAACAATATGAACCCAAAAAATACATAAAAGGAATACCAACACTCTGGTTTAAGTTCATTTTCTGTCAACCATGAATCTGTTTTAGAGCTGCTTGCATGAGAGAACTGACTGTCATCATCAACTTCACTTTTCACAGAACAAAATGATGAGTTTACAGGAGAAAAACTATCCACTGACGACAGAGTACTCCGACTCAATGAAGTGTTAGTATTATGAGTCCATGAAAAGCTTGGATCAACAGGTTCCTGTTTGATATACTGCATGAATGTTACTAGATTGTCCTGACTTCCACCCTGTACAGGACTAGGACTTGGCTGAGAGAGCGACTCAAAAATCTGTTTATCTGAGCTGGATGTATTTAGTGATGTGAAACTTTTTGCTCTCCTGATGTCTTTGGCTTCCTGAAAAGAAGCATTATCTATTAGGCAAATTGTTAATTGCATCAATTTTATAGAATTTTATCTTTACTTTATATCTTTAGATTGTTACAGCATGAGTTCAAATGATTTAAAATTTCGTTTTTAAATAAGCTAAAAGGAGAACCAATTGACTGAAGCTCTAAAAATATTTTAATTTGAAAAGATGTGTTATATTTGAAACATACACATGAAAAGTCAAAATAGAACTATTTACATCAGTAGAATAGTGCCTAGAAGAATTTTGTGGTTATAATATTTTATTTATTTATTACATAGCTTTTATATAGCGCCTATCTAATAAACATAATACTCTAAGCGCTTAACATATAATATTGAAGGAAAATATATATCACAATGCATACAATAATAGCAAATATATATATATATATGAACATAAGAATGAAACAGAAATTAAATAGAATAATGATGTAAATTAAAAGCATTGAAAGGGGAAGTATATATCACAATGAATACCATAAAAACATATTAGAATATAACAGTTAACCAAAATTAAATAAAATAATGATGAAGATTATAAGTATTTACATTCCCTGCGGTATATACACAAGTAAAATCTATAAAAATTTGCATTAAAGGATTTATTCACTTAGCTAAGAGAAAATATAAGGTAGAAATTTAACCAGTAAAACACAGAGAAAAAATAAATAAAACTGTCTCTTAAATAAAAACTTTAAAACTGAAAATAAAAAATTTAAATAAAATAAAAATAAAAAGGCCCTATCACTTAAACTGTTAGAATAATAAATAAATATCACATAATATGACACACTTCTTTTGTTTGTAAACAAAGCCATGTTATAATTCCAATAAAACTTATCATCTCAGTCAAGATTGCAACGTCATTTGTATTTTGAACAAAGCCTGAGATCAAAATGGACATTTGTGTCGGTGTTGCATGCTAGGAAATGAAACAGAATAATTATAAAAGTAAGTTTACATACTTCAATTCATTTTTAATCAGTGAAACAGTTGGTTTTTCTAGAATGTTTGTGCTTTATCATAAGGTCCACTTCAAAATTTGTTTTCAAGAATTTTTCTATTAGAATTAAAATTATTCAATCATGTCATGCTCTATGCTCATTTTAACATGGGTAGCATAATATATGTAAAAATTTTACACCTCACTTGAGCTCAGTATAAATATATTGACAATCATAATGCCTACTCATGTTAAAATGAGCAAAGATCATGGCATGAAAAATTATTTCTTAATCAAGTATTTGCAGAAAACATATATTGCAACCTTTAAGATAAAACTGTGTGTATTTTTAAGGGTCATTTATAATTCATCATTTACTTACAGTACACACAATGTGATTGTTGGTGATTTTTACCCTTCTTGAAAAAAAAAATTGTGGGTTAATTTATTTTCGTAGACAGTGGAAAAATTGTATTTTCGTGGATATTTGATTTCGTGGTTTTGCAAAGTTTGTATACAGCCTATAGAAAATTCATACTTTGTTGAACATTTAAATTTGTGGTTCCCAATACCCACGAAATCAAAGAAAATTGGTACCCAACAAATAATAGTGAATCCACATTATATGATTAAAATGTATTTACAGTTAGAGTTTCCCTTTTAGCTTTGAGTTCCATCGCAGCTTCAATGGAAGTTTTGCCTCGTCTGTTCCTGAGTCCCTCCACTTTACTTAAACTATCAACAGGAGATACAGATAATCTTTTTCTATTCTGTCTGGCAGTTTGTATTGAAACTAAAGACATAAACAAAAAAGGTTTGTAGATTTACATGCATAAACATCACACCAAGTATTGCTAATCAACTCCAAAGGGTACCAAAAATATAGAGTGAACACATTCAAAAATAATTTCAACACCTTCTGGTAGGAGTGATCGCTCATATATCAAATATTATCAATTCACCCAAAGTATACCCAAGATAAAGACAAGACAAATTTTGTTTTTCCTGACCCCTTATCAACAGTCATGACAGTTTCAGAATCTATAGTGTGTTCTTTGATATACTCTCAAAAGATTACGACAAAAATTGTAATTGGATAACAATGACCAGAACTACAGAATTCATCCAATAGTTTGATAATTACTCACCATGGCTGGTATATGGTGGTTTCATCTCTGTAAGTCTCCACCAACCATTTTCTCCTAATTCCTTGGCTCCTGAGGTAAATACTTGAGGACATCCAGATGACAGGGTACCAGCTACTGTTCCATGCCATAATGATGTTTTCTTTCTACAAGAATAAAATTAACTGTACTAATCTTACTGCACTAGATGTGCATATCAACAAAAATATCTCTTCAAAATGATGCTCAAAGCAAATATATTTGAAAATCGAATAAAAAATAAAAGAAGAATGTGTCTGAGGACAGGAATGCCCTCGCTCAAGCTTTGCAATTTTCCAAGTAAAAAAGGGGCATAACTCTAGAATGGTAAATGACTTCACAATTCAAATTCGAACTCTGTCTGCGTGTTGTGGTTCTCAGCATTGTCTATGAGTTACATAAAATTTGCATGCGGCAAACTAAAGTTAAGAGTGCTTAAACGGTCAAGGGTAACACTTTATGCCCCAGTTGCCTACGGCGGGGGCATAAAAATTAAGAACTTATACAAACCAAAAAGGACAAACGAAGATGTCATTTGCAAAGTCTGACATTATTCATTTTTCTTCCGGAATAGGTGTTTGTATTGGTCCAAATTTGTATTATATTTCTGGCCTTTGATAAAGTCATACTACATCAATTAACACCATGTTTATTTCAGAAGGTAAAGTACCCACCCTGTGAAGGATCATATAGAACCCCTGAACCTTGGTATACTGTCATTTACACGATCTTTTTTTAAACTCTTTCATATGATAAATGTTTGTCATCACACTTACGTTCCTAAAATAATTACCTATAGAACAGGTATATTTCACTCACGTGAATTGAGATTCACATGAAATTCACCTCAAATGAGCTTATATGTGGAACTCACATGAATTTCATGTGAAAAGCACATGAATTTTTTTTCACATGAAATTCATATGAATTTTCAAAATAAAGTTATTCAAATAACATCTAAAGTGTCAGATTTAATCAAAATCATGAAAAATACAAATTGTTTTTGGTAAAGTTTCCTGAAATTCACATGAGTTTCACGTATAAGCTCGATTGAGTTGAATTTTGTTATAAATTAGGCTGTTAGTTTTCTCAATTGAATTGTTTAATATTTTTCATGTTAGGTCCTTTTATAGCAGACTATATTGAATGGATTTTTCTCATTGTTGAAGGCGGTACGGTTGCTTACATCCACTTCATTTGAACTTTGGTGGATAGTTGTCTCATTGGCAATCATACCACATCTCCTTATTTTTATATTCAAGTGAATTTCATGTATACAAATTTACCTGTGTATATATAGACAGAGTATTGTTGCTTTCATTTATGATGTTAAACATCCAATGTTATTATATACTGCCTCGTGATCAACAAACCTTTGTCCTCCAAACAAGACTGTCCAGTGTTTGTCTATATAGGCACATATATGTTCCTTCCACCTAAAGTAGCCATACTTTCCAACACATCCAGATAACTGTAAGTTATACAAGGCCAGAAGTACAACTTGAGACCTGCAATCAGTCAAATGTTTATTCAATTAACACAACCTTAATCAGTTAATCAAATTGGAGAATGACAATGGTTTGGGAAAGGGTATTTTTTGGCACCACATATTAAGTCTTTTATTTCAAGATGAACAGTGATTCAAGTTACTGCATAAATGTGTGAGAAAGAGAATGGGACATTTTTTGTCAAGTTTTACTGACAAAGCTGTGCTAGTTGCAACCTAATAAGGATGAAATAAGAGATTTTGTGAAAGTTGACAAAGGCTTCTGGATTTCCACCACAATTAGGCCTAGGAAACATGGAGCGCAAGGCTCGACAAACTACATTTTGTAAATATTCCAAGTCAAAAAGTTCATTTGTTATATCAAACATAATGTTAAAAATCTGTTTTGATAATGCATACACTATATATTTCATATCCCAAAAACCTATTGAAATTTGAATGTTTTCTTTGAATTAAGTGTAAAATTAAGATTTCAGCTGATTATGACGTCATTAAACATGTAAAAAGAAGGCAGATACTTAAATGACATGTAAAAAGAAGACGGATACTTAAAGTTCAACAAAAATACCAATTTCCTATCTAGTCATTGTTAAAGCTATGCTACATTGTGATAATGACCACTAAATCCTAATTTTAAAATTAAGATAAAAATAGGGGCCATATTGGGATCATACTGAACATACTCCTTTCCAAGTTTTAAAAACTGTGGCCATTTTTTAACGTGTTAAAACAATTGGTCCCAAAAGAACCCATATCACTCACCTAGTACCTTTGACAAATGTCAAGATTTGTCATTCACCAACTGAATTATTAGCCTCTTAAGCCAAATTTGATAAAGATTGGCAAAGTTTTATTTATGAGAAGATGAAAATGTGATTTTTCATTAAAATGGGACCTATATGGCTTCATTAGTACATGTATGCCACCTGATCAGCTCAGAAGAAGAATTTTCGATAGAAAGTCTCCAAAACATATTCCTTTACAGTTGCAAAAGTTTTATCTTGTAATCAGAGAAGATATCTAAAAATTGACCAAGCAGAATCAAGTATTGTGTAATCACAAAAATCACAAATTTCTACACTGGAACTTCCATACAACATTCCTGCCTTGTTTGTTCCAGATTGGCTAAGAAGATTAAAAGATAATTAGAACAAGAATGTGCCCATAGTACACGGATGCCCCACTCGCACTATCATTTTCTATGTTCAGTGGACCGTGAAACTCTAATTTGGCATTAAAATTAGAAAGATCATATCATAGGGAACATGTGTACTAAGTTTCAAGTTGATTGGACTTCAACTTCATCAAAAACTACCTTGACCAAAAACTTTAACCTGACAGGGGACAGACGGACGAACGGACGGACAAATGAATGGACATAGGAACGAATGGTAGCGCAGACCAGAAAACATAATGCCCCTACTACTATCGTAGGTGGGGCATAAAAATATCTACAAAATGGGAAAACAATAGTACGCATTTTTTCATTTTGTTGGTCGTTGCCTAATTGACATTAAACTCTTAAGATTATTATCTTGGACCAGATAATGGGCCAGAATTAATTTGCACAATTACAAATTAGAATAAGTATCAATTGCGCCACTCTCTATTTTTCTGATGGTATTATTTGTGCCAATAGATTGGGATCAAATTGTGCCACATTAAGATTTCCCCTGTATATTTTTAACTTATATCATACATGTAACATGTTCTATAATTAATCTATCAACTTTAGATTAAACAGAGCACTCATTAAAATTAAGAAAACTCGTCAATCAATAAATTGTTCAGTAATAGAATAGTTTTTCACATGTAAAGATGTCTGATATATTGTTCAAGAAAATAGAGACTGATAGAGGGAAACCTATCACCGCTGTAGAAAATCATAAATACCGACAGGCATTTATTAAGGAAAAATGGAGAAATTAGATGGAGATGTACAGTGAAGTGGTGTTGGGCTAGGATATTTACAGATGAATCTTGTACAGTTATTTTGAGTTAGGAATTAGATCATATACATGAAAATAATAAATCAGAAGCTTGAAAGACAGATTTTGAGAACAGTATTCAAGCAAAAAGCAACTGATTTGTCATCTGAGCGACCTCCTATAATAATTTAGTAGATAAATAAATAAATAAATTGATAAAATTGGCGCAATTGTATGATTGTCTTTTCGGCGCAAAATGAAGTGGTGCAGAAGTAGCAGCATTGGCGCAAATAAGTAAGATTTCGGAAGCATTATAAACGACAATTTCACACAAACATATGAGACCATTTTTAAACTATGATAATTTGGATATTTCTATTGAATTCTCTGAGGGGCATTTTCTAAAAAATGAATTTATTAATAGAAGGGGACAATGTCTTAACAAGAAACCTATTAATCGAGTAACATTTTGGTATTTGATACTCTGTACTACCGAGCAATACTCAAGTACTTGAATACTCTTTGACATCCCTAGAATAGCCATTTTATTTTTGACTGATCAGTATGAGGAATTGCCATTGACTTTCAAATTATTATTGTTGTATGTGATGTTTTATTTCTGTGTACTGAGATATATGTTGTTCTCTATTTCATAGGTTTTATAGAGCTGTTAACATCCCGGTCCTTTGATCTTTTGGTAGATGGTTGTCTCATTGGCAATTATACTACATCTTCCTTATTATTATATTAAGTTCTATTTTCTGTACTGTATTGGGAATGCAATATATACCCCATTTCTATAGTGGGCTATACTATATAAGGAAACGATAACTAAACACTTTAATAAATTCCCACAGCTTGAAAAAACAAACTCCAGTCAAGAAATGGAAAAGAAAACCTGTTAAAATCTTATAAAATTCTATTCAAATTTACCATTGCATCTTCAATCTTTCTACTTCCTCTTCTCCGTTGTTATTGCATTCAGTACAAACCAAGTGAAAAAATACATCACCTACCAATAAGGATGGCTTTCCTGTCTTCAAACAATCTGATAAAAATTATCATTTAACATAATCATGTATATTCTATCATTGTTGTTCAATAAAAACATAGATGAGGCCATTAGAAGATAGATTGATTGATTCATATTTGCTTAAAGTACATTTGCTAATATTTCATGCATATAAAGTGATTATCCAAAATGAAATACATGCTGTAGCATGTAAATATTTTTGAAAACCATTAAGGTATTTCTCATGCATTTCTATTCTTTTTTTAATAAATTCATGTTTTTTCACAGAACTTCTTAAAGAGGATTGTTCAGTCGAAAATAACAAAATAGTATTTTGGTTCATGTTTGAGTCACATACATGTACATAGTATTGCATTGTATTTGTGATTGCCTTATTTGCTTTCATTGATCATGATGATCCTGTGAATAAAGGATTTCTTTACTAAATAAAATTGAATAAAAAGTGAATGAGCACTGGTTATTTTTCTTGATGCTCTGCCCATTTTTATAGAAATTTTTGGTACCATGCCCCTTTCCATCTTATCTTGTAAAACCCTGCTGTATTTCATTATCTGAACCTTTCCCATTTTCTAGAATTTTTGATAAACTCCAAAATTTATTAATACTTTGTTCTTAAAATTTCTCTTTTTTTCAATTTATTCAATCATGCTATTAGCTTACTGTAATTCACTCAGTAAAAAAAATTAAAACTGATCAAACTGATAAAACATACCTATATGGAACTGTCGTCTACATTTCATGCATGTTAATTTTGGAGTCTCTTCGTCAATTTCCTTTACTTTACAATAACAATGTGTTGCCTCAGAATCCATATTCACTGTCTTAATCAATCAACATATGGTTATGTCTGTAACAGAAATTCAGAAAAAGATGAAATAAAGAGGCATTACAATTATCATGATTATCTTCAACATGTATTATTCATTATTGAGGCCTTGTTGAGCCAAAGAAGAAGCTACTTGAGGATAAGAAATCAGGGGCAGGTCCAGTATTTTTGAAAGGGGGTGTTATTCCATACAACAGATTATATAAAAATACTAGACGATTTTATTCTAAAAATTCATATAAATCGTGAAACACATATGATAAATTTTTTTGGCAATCAAAGGGGGGGGGGGGGCATATGCCCTCTACGCCCCTTACCCCCCTGGATTCGCCACTGGAAATGTACTCTTGTATCAATTGATACATTATTCCAAAAATGACATCATTGTTTTCTCCAAACAATTGTTTAAACAGGGTGACAATGAAACACCTTTCCTGCCTGAAAATGAATTACCCGTTTACATGTTTACTGATTAGGTTTTAATTAACAAAACCAAACAGATTCAATCAAAAAGAAAAAAAAAGCATGACTAAATTATAAATAAAAGATGAAAAAGGGGGGTGAAACAGAGCAAAGAAAATACATGCAAGGCTATTCATAAATTTTGATTAACAATATACTTGTGGCTTCTTAACTTAGTGGGTACTAAAGCATTTCACCATGTTTAAGAAAAAGAAGAGCACAAGCAAAATTTTTCGCCGCAAAACCAAATCACCGGAAATTCCAATACTAAACGTAAGTATAGTTTCGGTTTAGGACGTGAGCGATATTACGTGAATTATACAGCAGAAAATAAGGGCAGCGTATATAAACTACCGTTATTTTAACATCGTATCGATAAGAACAAAAAAAAAAAACCAGATAACACACATAAATTACAGTCTGACTTGGAAGCGGCCGGCAGATGGGAGCAGGACTTGCTCATGCATTTTCACCCTGATAAGTGCAACATTCTCAGTGTAACTCAAAAACGCAAACCTCAGTTCAGACTTCACTTATAAATTACACAATCACTCTCTAGAAAAAGTTGACTCTACAAAATATTTAGGCCTAACTCTTCAATCAAATTTAAAATGGGACAAACATATCGATGATAAAATGACATCAAAAGCAAATCAGTCTCTTGGATTTATTCGTAGAAACCTAAAAATAGCCTCACCTAAAGTTAAAGCTCATGCATTTAAAGCTCTTGTCCGTCCAAAACTAGAGTACTGCTCAACTATTTGGGATCCACATCAAAAACAGCAAATTTCACAAATTGAAAAAGTTCAGAGAAGAGCAGCGCGCTTCTCATGCAACCGCTTCCATAACACCAGCTCAGTTACTAAAATGATGACAGACTTAAATTGGTACCCACTTGAAATTAGGCGTTTACGATACAGACTTGTCTTCTTTTACAAAATTATACACGAACTTGTTGCAGTCCCTACATATAACCTTTTGATCCCACTAGACAATTAATAGAACTTAAATTTTCGCCGATCGGAGCGTGGCGAAACTTTTTTGGAGGTAAAATTATCGAAATATTCTTTATTAAGCCGAGGACAACCAATGCGTTGCAAATTTTAGGGGGCGCACACCCGCCACGCCCCCGCCTGAATCCGCCCCTGTTTAGTGAAAAATTTGAACACAATAAATAGGAATTAGAAAAAGGAGGGTACATGTCCAAAGCGCCTGTGAATTGGACTCACCTGAAGTGCTGCTCAATATTTGATTTTCCGTGTGCTGCAGTGCTTTGTTACTGTTGTTTCTCTTTTATTTTTTCAGTTTCTTTTGGTCATGATGTTGTCTGATTTTCCATGTTATCTTCTCTATCTTTTTACACCAAGTAGGAATGAAACGACAGTGAACAATAAACTAAATTGAATGATAAAAGAACCAAAAAAAAAAACCAAAAAAAAACAGCATTTACTCAAGTAGATGCTACTGACATTTTTTGAACTGAAAAAAAGTACAAGTTAGTGATTAAGTTACTCCAGAAAAATATAGAATATACATACAGGTTATAATCAAATATTACGATGAGCATCAGAACAAATCATACCATAAAACAGTAAAATCTGACCAAAATAACAATAAGACAAAATTATAGAACCAACAGATGATGTTCAATACTACAATAAATAATGGAAATCAATGGGAGCCAATACCAACATTTATTCGGCGAAGACCTCCTAGCAACTATACAGTTACATAAGTTGTCAAATGTCACGATAGAAATAAACGAGAAGATAATATGAATCAGTGAACTTCTTCTTCTTCTTTATATGCAGAAAAACATCAACTGGTTGATGATTACTTTCATGCGCATGCCTGCTTTAACAGTATTGTTAATAATCAAAAATCTACTTTTCTAATTTCATAATCAAATTTCAATTTTTTATATATGTAAGTAGTATTTTTCAATTTTTATTTTTTATTTTTGGTATAAGATAAAAACAAGATACAGATTATGCACGTAGGTATTTGTAAGTGTCAAGGAGAATTTCTCTGGTGAAATTCTCTTTGAAGTACTCAGTCAGTGGTGCTGCAGGCTATTGGTTCAGGTAATTTATGCCAGTCTTTAATAGTTTGGCAGAAAAAAGAAAATGTGTAACTGTCTTTGCTGCATCGAATTTGTCGGTATTTTTGTTCGTGGTTAGACCTGGTGTTTGCTATGCTTTTAATTAGTATGTCAGTATATGGTATGGCAATTTTGTTGTTGGTCATTCTATGGAATATATTTAATCGGTCTTTAAGTCATCTTTCTTGTAATGATGGCCAGTGACGTGTGTTTAGCATGTTTGTTACACTTTCAGTATATTGGTATTTAGAACATACGTATCTTGCTGCACGTCTTTGGACTTTTTCTATGAAGTTAATTTTCTCTGTTGTGTAAGGGTCCCGACGGTACAGAAGTATTCTAGTTTTGGCCTGATAAGGGCTTGTACTAGCTTATCAATCAGTTACAGGATATATGCTAAATCCAGTTGTTAAGACCAAAGGAATTTCTGTAATATTATCTCTGCTAAAGTAAAAACTAGTATTTTTTAATGTTATAATGCCATGAAGATACAAAAGACAATGTCTGTGCAGTATTTTGAAATTTTCCACAGCCATATAGTTCTTTGTCTTCTTATCTTTATTGTTTGTAAACCTGTTTGACAGATTTTGTAAGTTAATCTCAATATTTATTTGCATAGTCGTCATAAGTGAAGCGCAAGTTACGTTTCAGTATTTGTTTTTATTGTTTTCTCTACAAACATGTTAAACAACTGGAAAATAAAATAAAACCAGACATGATAAAGGAAATAACAAGTAGTTACTGCCCCCGATTTTTTTAAAAAGTTATCCGATCTGTTTTAATACATTCAGTTGCCGTGCCGCTTTCTTACAAATATGAGTATCAAATTTAAGTTGTCGTGTAGGGTGACTGCTCACTGTTCATAAAGGAACTCTTGCAAGTCAAAAACTCTCTGATGGGTGTGTAGGTGACCTGCTGCAATGACAAATTATTGGCCCTATCTATTATACCCACATCTACCAGTGGTAGTCCAAATTTCCACCCTTCATGAATCCCGGTCGATTTTGATGATAATGATAGATTACTGTTTCGGGTCCAGTGGCCAATAAATTGCATGACATGACGAAATCATCTTAATGGGATATGAATATGGTGTGTAAGATTGAGTGCATCTTCTGACAAACCGTCTTTTTAAATTTCATAAGGAAAAGATCATTCGTTAGGCAGTCGAATGCATTTGTTGTAAAAATTTTGTTCTTATAAATTTCTTGTCGTAGCTTTTGGTTCATGAATGGTGCTGTTTTTGTATAAGTTTTTCCCTTTTCAATGGAATTTGCTTGTCAATTGCTAGTGAACAGTCTGTTTGAAAGTCATCGTATGCAGTATTTATGTCATTTTCCGAAGTAAATCTGTTTTGTTTGTAAAATTCAAAATTTGCTCGAAGTCGTGTATGAAAAGCTCTCGGTTTATTTGAAACGCTATCTAAGTTCGCATTATGAGTATTACTCAGACTACAGTTAAAATGAGAAACATTTTGTAACAAGTTTTTCCTCATTTTTAAGAATGACATTATAAAGTGTTTATTGCATTTCAACATCATGTATTTTTAACATAACGAGGATGTTTCACCGTGGGGTGGAAGATTATGGGACAACACTGAAAGATGATTGGAGAAACGAATGATTGAAAGATCGACAACATTGTCTCATAAAACATAGATTTTCCTACCAAAAATGGAATCGTATATATAAATTCCTTGTTTTAGTTAAGAAAAATCTAACTTTGTGAAGAAACACACTTATTCCAACAAAAATACACCGAAGTAATATCATAAAAAATGCTGGAATGTTTTCATGATCAACTACATATTTGTTGTGTTTGGTGGTTTTATATTTTGAGAGACCGTCGGTATTTCAATGTGTACTAATTGTACACCCTTTCTGGCCGACTTGTATTTGTACTCAAATGAAGCAGAACTAATTCAGGGCCTTCTTAAAGACAAAACGAAAAAGCACCTTACAAAGTTCTTTAATTTCTTCTTCACATACATATTGATGTTATGTTACTCAATAAGCCACATTTCAGCGAGTGCTTGCATCTCATATATCCCATTGAACTTCATTACAAAGGAGGTCTGCTTCATATCTTGATCTTATCTAGACACATGAAATTGACACAGATGGACGACTTCAAACTAGAATCTATGACACACGTGATAAATTCAACTTTCCAATTGTCAACTTCCCATTTCTCAGTTGTTACATGCCACATATCTCAATTGATACGTTATGCAAGAGAAATTTTTATGCATGTCTGTGGCTATGCTTATTCATGTTCACACTATGCGGACTTCATTAACAGGGGTGTGCTCCTGACATCAAAACTGTCCAGAGCTTTTAGGAAAAACGACATCGACAGTTCATACATCACCATCACGAATTGGTTGACCTATCCGATGTTACTGGGTCTCAACTAGTTAGCGATATTTTTTTCTTGGTCTTAGATCTTTAGATAACAAAATAGACGTCTGATCTGTATTACTGATTTGTCCTATTCTTGATTGTGACTTTGACTGAGCGTGGATTTGCATAGTGGTGGTGGAATTCAGTGACTATAGTGGTGTTAAAATAACTTTTACTACAAATAAGGAGTTGTGCCTATACATGTATTAGCAGAATTTCATTGGATACAGAACACAGAATACATGGCGGGTGATGCATGCATAGCAGGAGGCGCTTATCCCTTTGACGCATCCGGTCTCGCTCCTTTTGAAGTTCATGCGATTCCCTCAGATTTTGTTTTATAACCTTGATTTGTATCTTCTTGACGGATTTCATGGATGCATTGAGATTGATATCAAAACTCCCTGAGACAACATCTTTTCTCATCACCTATTAGAACAACCAATAGAATCACCATGCCATGGAACATCGTTATTGAAGTAATGGATACTACGTCAAAGAAATCCCATACCAAAGTAGGCCTTCCATTAAGTTCTTTATATACAAATTACTAGTACAAGGACATTGATATTCAGTCAACACTAAGACCATTTAACTACAGACAATGGAAACATCACTGTAAAGTTACTCAACTTAACAACAGGACACATACTATACCACCTAAATCAGTTATATGTGATGTCCAAACTGTCACCATAGATAGGAAACTGAAGGCAACTTTACAGGAGAAAATTCATTTTCTAGAAGGTTGATATTGCCAAG